GAGAGAAGATTAGCATGGCCCCTGCGCAATCAAGGATCATGACACTCATAAATCGAGAATGCCGCTACTAGCTGTTAAGAAAGTTATAAGACCACTTGTCCGTCATGAAGCAGAGTCCGCCGCAGCGCCGCTCAGTCCGGGGGCCCTGTTTTTTAATCTATGCAGCATTGATGATTGCTCGAAAATTGCATATTCGGGAATCGGGAAAGTGGGACTTGGCGCCGGGGACCTCACAATTCAACGGCCCGCCGGCAGATGGAGTGACACCATCACCCAGCTCTTAGCTACCATAGCCTAGTACCAGGCTTTACACAACCCCCCCGCCCCCCAGGCTGCGAAAACGCCGAAAAGTGGAACCTACCCACTTTGCGAGTCGGGGAGGGACTACTCAGGACCAGTAGGCTAGACTCCTAGAGCATGCTCACCTTCGTGAAACTCAGTTTAAATTTAAAGTTGAGTTCTGAAGCAGACGAAGTATTTTTCCAACCCCACTGGCATGTCATGGAGTTCCTTAAGGTTTAAATTTGAAGTTGAGTTCTGAAGCAGACGAAAGATTTTTCCAACACCACTGGCATGTCATGGAGTTCCTTAAGTCGTGCCTGTATACTACCCACGCGTTTAGAAGAGAAGTACGGGTCACTACAGGAGCGCCCAAATTCATCCGACAAGAAACGTTGCTGCTAGTAGCCTAGTAGTCTATTTTTTTTTCCCCGTGGCCCATAGCTGGGCCAAGTACTGCTGGTTTCAGCAACAATTTTGTGGAATCAAGCTGTGCCTAACTAGTCTGGGACTAGCGCGGGCCACACGACCAGTGTCCAAAAGCAGTATACATCACTTCCCCCCTAGTAGGCAGAGGCTGGTTCAAAAAGGTATTCAAATTTCAACCCGCCCCCCAAAAAAGGTACTGTGAGGGAAACTTCCAAAAACACACAGGCATGTATAACCACATGGTGGTGAACCTGCTCTCTCTCTAACACACACACACACACACACACACACACACACCTGTCTCTTATACACATCTAGATGTGTATAAGAGACAGTATGTACGCTCCCTCCACTGGACAGCTACGTGTCCGAGCAGTAGCAGAGTTTCATTACCAGGCAGCTGCTGGTCATATGGGCTTCCACAAGACGTTGGCTCGTGTGAGCCGCCTGTACGTCTGGCCGAAGCGCAAGGACTTTGTGAAGGACTACGTCGCAGAGTGCCCCACCTGTCAGGAGGTGAACAGTGCGAACTACCTACCTTATGGTTTGCTCCAGC